TGGGCTCTGAATTTCATTATTTTAATTTGAAAGAATCACGGAGAGAGTAGTAATGTCTTTATTTTTAGGGTTTATCATTTGGCCTTATTCTCCACTTCCAAACTCCTTTTGAGTGCCTATCAAATCCCAATTACCCTCATTCATTAGCTAGGAAAAGATCAAACAAAGATATTGTAATGAGTGGAATTATCAAACCCAGCCAATCTAAGTTGATGGCAGCCTTTTCTTTCACTCACAATAATCTTATCTGACATTTTAATATAAAAAATAAAAACTTAGTTCAATCCAATTATTATAGGAACCGTATTTCTTTTCTAGCCCAACCTAATATGTTTCTTTATATTAGATTGAGTCACTTTATTTTTATTAATAATTTTATATATAATTTAAAAGAAAAAACTTTGAACAAAATAAACTTGATAATTTTTTAGTCTAATTTTTACTGACCCATTCTGGTCTGTTTGACACATCTAAGTCAAGTTAAATTGGTTCAATGTTTTCATTCTAAATATAAAAAAGTCTAGTTTATTTAACCGAAAGGGCCAATTGACTAACTTGACATGCTCAACTAATTTTAATACCTCTAATAACAAGTGCTTCTATCAAGTATCATTACTATATATGTAGCTAAATATCAAAATACAAGATAAAATTTAGTTGATTTTTTAGAAAACAACTATTTTAAAGTTTTTTTTTATGATAAAGTAGTTATTTTTCTAAAATGAACTATCCAAATACACATATTTAAATATACAATTACATTAAATATTAAAAGAAAACTCCATTCTTTGTAATAATTTTAAATACACATTATTTTTTCCCTTTTATTAATTGAATGCTAAAATTTAAGGAAGTCCTACATCTGGCATTCTACACAGTGATGGGAATGAATTTATTTATCCCCGGAGACATTGATTTCGGATAGTGAGAGGTGTTTACAGAAGACCCTGTAATGAAACTTGGTGTAAGCCCAATCATTCATTTGGGTCAGGGTCAAACAAATTTCAGGCCAATAAACGCATAATTTCCAACCATTTCATGTCAAGTGAGGGAAACATGTCTTTTATAATGGGCCTGTTGGCCCATTTGTTAGATAGAGTCTCGTAGCGTTTTGCACATGATTGTGGCTCAAGGTCTAAAATTTGTTGTGATTGAAAATTGATCAGAGGTATGACACATGCAATGGCAAATAGATCAATTTGAGAAACCAAAACTAAAATAGGCAACGTTACATAGTGATTCTCTGTTTTAGTGTTGATAATAACATGCTTCACTACTTAAAAAAAAGAAAAAAAACTTGCTTGACTACAATTGTGGTATGCATTAGATTATACTCAGCCATAAATTCATGACTATGAGTTTTATATTTCTTCGAAGTAGTTGGTTAAAACTTAAAGTGGTGGTAACCTTATTTGGGTTTATAAATAAAATTTGTCATAGTTGAAAGGAATTATGCTAATATAGGAATCACTTCAACAGTGTGTTACAAAAAATGAACTATCTCGTTAATAATAGAATGGAGAAAGGATTTGTAAGAGGTTTAGGAATGTGAAGATAAAAAACTTGGCAAGAGAAGTATCTTTTTTTTCTTTAGGAAGGTAATAACACTATCAATCTATCATTCCAATGCATAGTTATACATTTGCACATGTCTAATTAGTGGCTTTGCATTATAACAAATTAAAACAAATGTTTAAATGTAACACGTTATACAATTTGTCCAAACCAAACTAGCTCTCTCACAGTTTGTTTTTTTCTCAAATGATTAGTCTCCCAACTTTTTTTTTCCCTTTCTAGGTCTTAGGGTGATGATAAACACACCTCCGTTTTCATATAAACACACTCCCTTTATATATATATAAAATTCCTAAATTTGTACCCGCACCCCTCTTCTTTTTCTTCACCGCACCTCTTTTCTTCTTTATTTTTCCCGCACCCCGCACCCCTTTTCTTTCTCTTCCCCGCACCCCTTTTCTTTCTTTATTTTTCCCGCACCCCGCACCCCGCACTCCTGTTCTTTCTCTTCCGCGCACCCCTCTTCTTCTTTCTTTTTCCTCGCACCTCCCTTCTTCTTTCTCTTCCACCCCTTTCTTCTTCTCTTCTTCGTCACTTTCTTCTCTGATCTCTCTACCTCCTCTTCTACCCTTTTTAGTTTTTGTAATATCTTCTTCCTTTTCTGTTTTGTTATAAGTTGTAAGCTCGCGGTTTAGTGTCAAAGGAAAAGGTGTGAGACCATATGCATTTTTTCGCCAAGTAATTCTTTTCACTATCTCCACCTTTTTCTATATTCTTTTGTTCTTATTGTTTCTAGTTTATTATCGTTCATTGTTTCTCTGTTTTGTTAACATCTCTCTCTCATCTCTACATTTCTTTCTTTCTGGAATAGTAAAGTTTTTGTTCTGAAAATTACTTTTTGGAATAATAAAGTTTTTATTCCAGAAAATACTTTCCATAATAGTAAATTCTTATTCCGGAAAGTATTTTTTGGAAATGTTTTTTTTACATAATTTTGGAAAGTACTTTTCAAAATACTAAAGTTACTGTTCTGGAAAGTTCTTTTCGGAATTATATAAGAAACACACTTCCAAAAAATACTTTCTGGAACAATAATTTTACTATTCCGGAAAGTACTTTCCGGAATACTAAAATTAAATTTCGAATCTTATTTTTTGGTATGACAAATTTAATTTATGTGTTTCTTTATCTCCTCATCCACCACTGTCGTCTATAATCCTGTTGTCCATAAGTAATGTTAAATAAGTTAAAAAAAATTATAAATATAAAATATAATTTAATATATTAATTTGTACCTTGTATTGAATGTAGATAATAATGAAGATTGAATGAAAAATTAGGGTTTAAGAAAGAATAAAGTAGAAAGTGAAAAATAGAATTTAAAATATAGAAAGATAAAATATGATTATGTTGATTGTAAAAGAAGAAAAATCAATAATGAAAAACGAAAAAGAATAAAATCATCAAAAAAATGACTAGAGTGATGAAAAAGGCCGGAAGGCTCCACACATCTCTAGAATGTTCCAGAGGATTCTACACTATTCCACAAGCTTCTAGAGTATTCTACAATTCTCTAAGATTCTCTAGAATGTTCTAGAAAATTCTATACTTCTCTAAAAAGCTCTAGAATTTTCTAGAACCTCTCCAATTAAGGAGGGATCCTAACACTAATAAATACTTATCCTACCTAACAGATACTTAATACCAACAATATAATTACCCAAAAAAAATGTTTTATTTACTTAGTCGACGTAAATTTCATAATTCCTACCCAAGAAAATTCGACTAAAAGAATCCAATTATTTATAAATAAAAAAAAATAAGTTCCAAATTAATTTCTACCATTAGTCCATTATCCATCATACTTTCTACCACAATTATGTCCTTAAATTATATTGAAGGACAACTATGAAGAAATTATTAAAATCGGAACTACATCCAAACTAAAAGTCAGGGTACAGGACAATCCATTAGGCCACTACTTGACATTATATTAAAAATAATGTTTAATAAGCTCATAAAACAAATTAACGTCAATCATACTATTCCGGCCAAGGAGGTATCTAGGATTTTTCTCTTAGGTCAATTCTCTCAAATCAGAGCATTCAAGAGTAAGAGTCTCTCATTAGGTTTAGGATTCACGGTTTTATAGCTACTCCTTATAGACCCCGTAATCCTCTCAGTTTCGTGATTCTTCTTGACCATTTTTACGTTCCAAATATTTAATTATCATTAATGGGATTTTATTCCAGATTGACCATTTTTACGTTCTGTACTTACACGAATCAGGTCAGATCCCTAACTCGGATAAGTCGTCTTCCTTGTTCGATTCAGTCAAGATCAGATGAGATCGGTCATTGGGGTGAATTCCTTCTCTCCAGTCTTCTTGCCCAAGCGTCTCGGATGTAACTGCAAAAGAGACTTCGAAGATCAAGTTAGTTATCTCTCATATCTCATGTATTGCATATATTATTACCTATGGCCGTTCTTGAGTAACCGTGTAACTATTGTTTTGTTAGTTTCTGAGGGTTATCGGCGGTTGAGTCATATTCAATATCATTGATATGCTGAGGTGTATTACCATTCTTCCTTCTCCAATGTCACACCTCAGCATTTCATATATTTACTTTAGTTTGACTAAATGGTCATCTCAGTCAAAATTGTCTAATGAACTCGGTCGGCCTTAAGCCAGGTTAGTACACGTTCCAAATATTTGATTATCATTAATGTAATATTATTTCTGATATGGTGCGTACTAGACTAAAGTTCTCGTCTCTAAATCCTCATAAAGCTATATCAGAAATCAAACAAGATGGTACTTATGTAACCAAAGCTCATCCCTCAGTCCTCACGCTATTCCATCTTAGTATTTCATCTCGGCCGAATGTTCATCGATAAACTATCTAGATATAAGTCCGAGACAGCACTATTACTCTACAGTCTTGAGCTTGTAAGACAAAAAGACTCTTTAGTGTAGATTATCTCGATATAAGTTCGGGACGGTAAAATTACCCCCCAACCTTTAGCAAGTTTTTAGTGTAAACCATCTCCATATAAGTCTTAGCCTAAGACGGTATAATTGCCACCCTAGTCTTAAGCCTATAAGACAAGAAAAATCTTTAGTGTAGACCATCTCAATATAAGTCCGAAACGGTACACACACCATACAAATTTTATCACCAATCTACAACATCTCTTCGAAGCAAAAGCATGAAATGCAGCAGCTATCGATCAACAATTTTAACTATAACTCTCATACAATACGTCACCAGAAGAATTGGGATTTTTTCAGCTTCTTAAAAAATAAGTTGGAATTGCAGTCTGGATTCAATGATAAGACGGCTTATAGTTTTTAAATTTTTTAAGTTGCAGAGGAAGACGAAATCATAAAACCTATATCGAACTGGTACTTCCCTGAAACATTGCTTCGGGTTTTAAATCGAACGATCTAATTTCAATTAAGCGTATGATAACTTTTAACTTAGTTGGAACTAATTAACGAGAAATCACAAATACACAAAGCGTGCGCCCAGGCTACAAAATAATGAAAAAGTTGATGTCAATCGGATTAACAAATTAAAAATTCTCGAAGCATAACCTGAAAGGCAAACAAAAACAATTGTTCAACCTAAGCTAAAGCTCAAGAACTATTGCACAATATGAACAGAAGAATTGAAACCCTAATCCCCAATTCTCTAACCACCGAAACCGTAGAGGGTCCTCCCCTGCCTTTTGAGGGCGTAAACAACGTCCATGGCAGTAACAGTCTTGCGACGAGCGTGCTCGGTGTAGGTAACAGCGTCGCGAATGACGTTTTCGAGGAAGATCTTGAGAACTCCGCGAGTTTCCTCGTAGATGAGACCGCTGATACGCTTAACGCCGCCACGTCTCGCCAGACGCCGAATCGCGGGCTTCGTAATTCCCTGAATGTTATCCCTCAGAACCTTACGGTGTCGTTTCGCTCCTCCCTTTCCCAGACCCTTCCCTCCCTTTCCTCTTCCCGACATGCTTCACGATCTTTTTCTTTTCTCGATACCAAACTCAATATGCACGCTTACGCTTGCAACTTCCTACGTTAAACCCAAGCGAATTTAAAGATTTATATAGATGCCGCAATAGGATTATCGCCGTTGGATGGCTTGCTATCCGCGTGAATGGGTAATGTCACCGTTGGATGTAAAATGCTTGATGCGGATTGGCCCAAAGTGTGTGACGCGGATACTGACCTTTGAAATTTGGGTGGTTGGGTGTTTCTTCCTTGGGATTTGTGTCTGCGAGAAAACACATTTTTTAAGGACGAGAGGGGGAAACAGGGAGCACAATTGAATTAGGGAATTTTTTTGAATGCGCTCCACATGAAAATGAGACACCGCGCCACGAAATTACTAATTGCCTAATTGCTATATATGTGTGCAATAATGAAAAAATTACACACATGAACTGCTTCTAAATTATGCTTAGTCGTTAACATGAATCAAACAAGTCATTGATGATAATTTAATAGTTAATTCAGATGTATTTTATTCACAGCATATTATAAGATGTCATATACTCTATTTCAAAATTACATTCACTACATAAAAAAACAAAAGAGCATGTATTGAATAAAATTAAATATAACTAAAATATAATTTTACTGTCTGCAACATATATTTTATAGTTTTAAGCTCTAAAATATATTTTCAAAATTTATAGTTTAATTATAATTTTAAGTTATATCTATAAAATTTGTGTCGAGAGTTTTTAATTTTAACGTGTAAAAGAGAAAAATTTTATAAACATATATAATATATTTTAAGATAATGAATATTTTTATTAATGTGATTAATTAAATTTTGTCTATCTTTATTTAATTATGACAGTTTTTTTTATATTCTATCATTATTGTGCGTCATGAAAAGAAGAAAAGTTTTATTTTCAGCAAATTACAACTTAATTAAACCATGACTAAAAATGATAGTCTTACGATTATGTTGAACAGTAAGTTTGGGATGAAGGGTTTGTCTAGCTAAATACTTCAAATAGTGCTTTAAAATTTAGACTAATCATGACTCGGTCTACCAGAAGCACTAAAGTAAAATATTTCCGTAGAACGAATTGAAATAAAAAAATTTAAATATTAAAAGAAAATTAAGTCAAATAAAGATAAGTAAAAAATATATATAATGATTTATGAGAACATAAATATTATAATATTTTGATATGTATAATGTACAGATTAAATATTTATACATATTTATTATATATAAGTATAAATTTGAAATAATTTATATAAATAAATAAATAATATATTTTAATATATAA